ACACATAACTGTCAAAGAATGCACCGGCATCGTCAACAACGGACGATCATGTGATCATTTCCCGCGACAATCGTATAAAAGCGACAGCCACCGGAAGCTCGGGGCGATCGAACTGAGAGTTATATTTCGTGATAGTGGCCATTTCGTCTCCCGGACCTCCATTCAACGGACTCGATTCAGCCCAAGGAGAAGACACCGATTGGAAGACATTGCAACGGCTCCGACTCTTCCAGAAAGTAACGATCGTCGCCTACAACTCTCCATTACGACTGAGAGGTATTATATATATATTAGGGCTAGAAACTTTGTAAACTCTCTCTCGATATAGAAATTAGGACAAGCGACAGAGCTTAGAATTTAGTCGCTGTCCTTGTGTAATTAATCAACAGAATAACCGTATAAAGATCTGTAGATCCTCTTGTATCCTAGCGTTAGTTATAGAATAAACTTTTATTTTGTTATGTTAAATCTGTTTCCTATCTATTAGACACACGGACACCTATCGACTTATCAACGCACTCCCCACTCGACAATTTACCCTCCTAGTCATCCAACGACACAGAGGTCGGGTTATAACAACCCGTGCCGATTAAGTGTTTAATAGAGAACCCCCATAGCCCCCGGCATATCTCACATATACATAAATAATTATACATATTATAAATATATATACACATATACAGATATATAATTTATGCAAATGCCACGAATGATGTAGTGTTAAGAAATCTTTGGAAGAAATATTAAGATATTGAAAGTCCAGGTTCAAACTTGGCAAAGAATTAAAAAAAAAAAATTTGGCTCGTGATCAATAACTACTAAATTATATGGCGATTCAAGGTAAACTAACAAAAAACATCGATATTTTTATTGTTAATATTATCTGAACGACACAAATTAATTACAAAAGCGAAGGACATTGATAACGTTCTATAATTATTAATAAGTTATTAAATATAATATACTGTAGATGAAATTTATTACAGCCGATAAACAGCATTAAAGTGTAATTCATTTAACTATTATGAAATTTTTAAGGCACAAGAGCTTTGTATAAATTATTTATAGCGTTTATTAATGAGAGAGTAATGAAAATCGCATCATTTTCAGTTTTGTCTTTATTCTTTTTTCTTCATTTATTTTTCTTTATGGGAATTTCCATTCTCTTGTTATGAGATTTTCCCTCTTGCGAAACGAAGAATAAACGAGGAAAGATTTCATTTAACATCGTTAATCATAGACAAACGATTCTATTTATGGATTTCATTTGTAATTTTAAAAAATGCAGCAACGAGTTGCTTAACTTTCCCGGCGGCATTTGGTGGCACCATCTATTATAAAAATTCTTAAAATAAAATATCATATTTTTTAACTATTATAAAATGACAAAAAGCTTAACTTTGAGGGTATGGGTTGTTTTATGGCGCAGCTTGGCCTATGTGGCCCTTGCGCCATAAAACATCAATCAACCAACCTTGAGGGTAGGGATGGGGGATGTATTTTATAAAAAATTATAAAGTCGTCATGAAGTCCGACTCTACTTATGATTCCCTTATCTCCCCACCTCCTCGACCTTTAATCACCAAAATTTAAAAGTATCAATCTCCCTAATACACAAACTTCCCTGCAAAATTTCATAAATTGTTGACAAAAAGCATAGGAGTTATTAAGCTTTCAATAGGGTAAATAAAATCGTGCCTCACCATATACCCTAACATCCATAAATATAAAAATTATCCCCGAGTTTTTTGCATTTTTCGACATTTCAAGGTGTCCAGAATCCAAAAATGTAAAAATCTTGGGGTCATTTATGGATCACTATTCCTTCCTTCATCCGGAAAAGTAGAAATAAAATAAAATAACAGAACCTCTAGCTATAAACAACTGTTTTCATAATTTTCAGTGTTTTTTTTTTTTGTTTGGAGATGTTGCAAGATCAAGCAAGACAGTAGGAAGCAAAGACAAGCGGCAGTCTGATAAAGATCTAATCATCGATCCGTGCGAAGGAGAATGGCCTTTGCACTTAGAGGCACAGCTGCAAACAGCCATTTTCCAGTGAGATTATGCACGACCATCCATTAGGGTTTCTCAGGAACGTCTCTCACACGTTGTCACACACTGTGGAGTGGCACGTGCAATATCTGTGGGCATATCTCAGAGGATGGCTTGCGTATCTCCGTGTTCTTTGTATCGCCGTATGTTTCCAAGCAACAGGAATTCCTCCAGTACTTATGGTTCTTTTAAATTGTATCGTTATTTCCCAGGAAACTCTTGATGCATAACTTTTTTCTGACAACGAGGGTATTTTAGAAATTATTAATATAACAACAGTGAAATGTAAATACCTCCGTAAATCAAATTTAATACGCCAACTAATTAAATTTTTACGCCATCTAGAGATGAAATTAAATAATTTATTTCATTAAAATTAAAAAATAATTCGAATTAATAGATTTAATTTTAATATTGAAATTCTAATTTCGAAAGGAATTATTCGTTTAAATTCGAACCTTAGCGTTTTATTTTAAAATATTTGATTTACGTTTAATTTGAATGATGCTTACCATTTTCTTACTGAACCTGGTTACAATTTCCTTGTTTTCGGAGGCGTGTAGTTACGAGGAGATCAAAAAATATACCTTTAGCAATTTAAAAAGGTACGAATTTCTACGTTTACCTAAACATAGATTCAATTACACGCGCTTGGATCTAAAGTTTTCTGCGTACGATACATATTTTCGTATAATTGCTCGACCCACAGAGAATTCGGTAATCGATAGAAGTGCCACCGTACACATCCACTATAAAAACAAAGCTGCGGTAGATAAACTGGATAATTTTGGGATTAAATTCTATAGTGGATGGTTATTAGGGCATCCGAACTCCTCCGTCTTAGGATTTTTCAATGGCCAAGTCTTTCAGAGCATCATCCACATGGCAGAGGAAACATACATACTAGAACCATGCTCAAATTACCTGAAGATTACCGATTTTAATGCAATTATATACAGAAGAACAGACGTAATAAGTGAATATATTAACAAAATTGACTATTCTGAAAGGTGGACGAATTTAAAAATTGGCTGGAGCAGAAATCTCAATAGAATTAATAAACACAACATGGAGATAATTGCCGATGTTTCTGTATTTAATGACCTAAATCGTAACTTGGCATCATTATTTAAACACGTGATATTCCATTCTATTTTAACTGACCGAGTCTTCGGTAAACAAGATATTGGCAAAAATGACAATAAAAGCCTTAAATTATCTAAATTAACACTCTTTACCAGTATGAAATCTCCGTTATACCCTTTTAAGACCATTGGTAGAAACGATATCGACAATACTGCAAATACAAAAATGATTGCTCTTAGTTTCAATATTTTTAATAAATATAAAGTACTGAGTGCATCGAGAGCACTTTTTGCTGATAAATTCTCCATTTACTATTCTTCGTGCATAATTTATGCATCGAGAAGAGTTTGCAAAAGAGACGACAGACAATGCTTTGCTGGTGTTGACGAGTGTTTATCGCACGAAAACGAGAGATTATTAAGTAAATTTATAAGCTGTTTAAACAGATATCGACCCCACAATCGGCTCGAGAGAAATTTTAAGATACGATCGAGATTCAAATTTTGTACCAGGTATTGCTTGAAACTCCAAAAATCCTCGTCCATTAAACGTTGCAACGGTAGGAAACTACGCGAAGAGTCGTGTTCGAAGCAGGAAACTAAGGTACGTGTACATAAATAATTTAATTTAAAATAATTTAAAATCGATTTTATTAATTTAGAAGTGCAAGAGGACAAACATAAACGACTGTCGTGTGTACAAGAGCAAAAATATTTGCGATTTTTTCTATTTTTATAATGAACATAAATACATAAATTCCTTTAGAAAAAAATTGAAAAGACTGTTCATCAACATCACTCAATTTGATTCGTAAGTATATATAGAAGAATATTCTATAATTATACCTATTATTATTATAGTTATCACTTGAATACCAATCAATTATTATTATTAATATTCTATGTAATACTTTAATTCTTTAAGCATATTAACTTGCTTCTTAGCGATTAAACTAAACATTCTAAAAAAAAACACGGAATTAACTACGTTAACACGTTTTTTAAAAAATCTAAACAATATTCTTGGTATTAATTTCACCTCTGTTTCCATTATAAAAGGATAGGGTTGAAAGCGTGCGCTTCACGACCTTCACACTTTTAGACCTCACGATTTGCATATTTTATTATTAACTACTACATGAGGCAACTGGTAATTCATAATAAGAGAATATAAACAGTAAAATTGTACTTAAAATAGATAGATATGAACCGTGTAATTAGTATTTAGCACATACTTGTACTGTACGTGTACCACTGGTTGGTACGCAGAAAGGATCTATTAGTGCTACAATACTATACATAGAAGGCTCAGGTGGTACGCGAATAAAAAACAGGGTTGAAAACCGCTTGTTTGTATTGGTATGAGCCATTTTTAGTAAATAAAAAACTAATATATTACCTCATAACTTAAAAATAATTATATATTTATTCTTTAATAAGCATCACTTTAATGTTTTAGAATGATTTTTTACAGTAGATCACAGTTTTGTAAATGTCTTATAAGGAGATCATTTACATAACCTAATTAACTTCCACTACTTAATAATTAATTATATAAAACTTAAGTTAATTAAATGCAATTTTAAACAATTTTATTAATTAAAATTACCGTAATAATTACTTAAATAATTCTATATACTGTACAGTAAATCTATACACTTAACACCTTATTGTTAGCATTAAGTAAAGCGTAACAAATCTAGATACTGTATATACAAAAATTAAATTTCACTTACCTATTTCTTAAATAAAAATAAAGCGGAATAAAGTGAAACTATGTTTAGTGGAGACAAAGTTCCAGCGGATTTCCTATCGTAACACACTAACATATAATGAATGAACAAGCTTAGCACAGTAACATATTAACACTTTCTCACGTTATGTAGGACACATTCATATATCCTTTATTTTAATAATAACGTAATATTTATCATAAGTATAAGAAAAATTCTGTAGTTTAGTCAACATACTTCCGATAAAAAAACCAAATTACGTGAGTGAGAAAAAATATCACCTTAATATTCTACGTTTCTCATGTATTGTATTTCTCAATTACTTAATTTTGCTGGTAAATAACATTATTTTCGATTACAGGAAGCGGAGATCAAATATTTTAGAGCCAATTGGGGTTCAAATTAGGCACGTGGAAGGTAAAAATACATTTAATTTTTCTGGTAGAAAAGCGAAGTGTATTACTTATCAATGCAGTGACATATGACACAGAAACACGCAATTCTAAAGGCAAATAACCTAGCAAAGGTGAAATAAAACGAGGTCGTTGCGCTAAATATCTTGTAATCGTAGTATTAAATTAGAGAAATGATCCAGAAATTTCATTATTTCGTGTAGTTTTACACCTCCGCTCGTTGGAAATTTGTCGGTCTTTCGACGTGTAAACATCAGAAAGTTCCACGCAGTGTAATTAATATCGTGGTGATTTTACACGATTTTTACACACCTAACAGTAAATATTTAACATTAGATGAAGATAATTTTTTAGTAGGTTAATTACTCGTACTTTCCATAACTTTCATTGTTGCTACTTGCCAGCCGTAACAGATGTTCTTCCTTTACGTTTCCAATCGTGAACAACATAATTAAAACTTAGTGTTTTGTAATTAAAACAGAATTTTAATTTTTTTTGCTCTTTTTGTAAAAGTGCAGCATTTACTTACTTAAAATTTCATGTATAAATAAATTTCTATATGTCAGTTTAATACTTTGTGTACAAGTAGTAGATCTCTCTTTACGACCGCTCACTTTTACACACTTTTATGATCAAGTATACGTTTTATTTTATTTCTGTGGATATTCATTATTAGTGTCATAGAAATAAAACAATTTCGAGGAACGTAAGCTCACTTTAAGACTCAATTTATGGGGATGAGAATGGCTCTCTTTACGACATTTATTTCTCTTTAGAATATTTTTCTAGCAACCAATTACGCCCTTCGTTTTATATTGATGAATTTATGTTAAAATGCCAGCTATATTATGAAAGTATAACTTATATAAGTTTACGTAGAGGTTCTTAATTAAAAAAGATGCAGAAATTCAAAGAAATTCCAGGTTTATAGGAAAAGGTAATAAAGAATCGTATATCATCCTTCCCTATTTATTCCTCATTCATTCAAAAATAAATTACTATCTCTCATATATTTTCTTCCTTTTCTTTATATATATGTAAGGATGTTTCTTTGTTTTCTTATTGTATATATATGTTACCGCAAAAGCTCGAAAGTCGTTAATGTGTACATTACCTAGCTAATTTGCAGATTAACTAGGGTGATCCGTTAAAGTTGGTAAAATTGTTCTATTTCTCAAATTACCTAGATAATGTGTAGTTTGTCATTGGTTTGGGCATGGCCAACGGGCTGGCAACGTGCAGTTTTCCGGGTTTTCTTCACGTTGGTAATACCTAAATAAGGGCCATGTGTTAGATTGGACACTCGGTGTGATAAACCGTTACGTAAGATAACCTTTGTAATTATAAATCAAATACTATAATATAATATAGTAGAAGGGTTAGAAGTACAAAATAATTTAATAATTCTAATCTTTGCTGTTGTTATTTTTGCCTGAGCAATGCCAAGCTCATCCGCTAATATAATATAATTACAAAAATTTCTTTATATGTATAAACTAAAAAACAGTATTAAAATATTATATTAATTTTGGAAAGATAAAAAGCTTTCGGATCAATTGATACGACGGATTTATTTTAATTTTAATTAATTTACTAATCTACATTTACTTGGAAAATACTAATGCATCAATGCTACGATATCAAATTTTCAAAATTACCCGCGACATATCGACTGAAACTAATGAAATTTAATGAATTTATTAATTTTTAAAATTTAAATATTATACTAATTATTTTTAATATAGAATTTCATATATTTTGATGAACAATTATAGAAATTTGGAGAATTATTTTCATATTTTAAATGTGTAAAAAAATTTTTACGTGTAAATTTCTAGAGAGAAGAAATCGCCATTAAAAGAAGAAAGTGGCTCGTCTAAATTTAAAAAATTTGCATATTTTTGTATATACAGTTTGCTCGTTTGCATAATGATATATGGGAAATCGCGAAAGATGAAGATGGTGGAAAGAAAGATGTACCGAGATTTTCAGAGAGAAACTGCATTAAATGAACTGAAAATCGACAAACCGAATTACGAACGTTGTGTATGGCGATTGGTTACCTTATTCCCAACTGTGCCCATTGAAGTCATCAGGAAGATGCTGGACGAACTCTATCACGAAGAATTAGTTGTCGTTTCCATTATATCTAATGGTATACCTATGAGAACTGATTATTCTACAACGATTTCCCTTCCTTTACTAAGAAATTACGATTTGAATTCGGGAATATCACCGTTATCAAAGAATAGAACATATTGCAAACCCCTGAACAAAGCTCTGTCTATCAAATTAATGCTCAGAGAAAATGAAACCAAAATTTAAACGTTGTGTAACTGATTCTATGGAAATCTTTCACTTTAAACGTTAAATATATATAAACTGCATTAAAAGTAATTGAAATTAAATAAATTTTTCGGTATAAAACTTTAAAATTAAATAAAATTTCATAAGATTTCATGTAATACCCAATTACTATTTGTGGTAAAACCGAGTACTGTATTTAAGTTAATAAAAATAATTTTCTAAATTTTTTAAACAATATAATAAGGTTTAATGTTTCTTCCAGAATTTTATAACTTATTTAATTTATTATAAATGTTAAATCTAATAAAATATGGTGCTGAATATCTCTCTCGAGTGACAAATTATTTAGTAATTATTTTAAAATAATTGCCGTAAAGCCCGATGATTGGGTTAAACCAGAGTCGATGGTGCTTGAGCTGCCAATAGCTCTAATGCTACTATGCTGGTTTAATAAATATTTCTGCCACTTCCAGCGCTTTGATCGCGCATAGTCATAAGTTTGGCTGGAGCATAGGGAGAGTCAGCTGTAAACATTTGAAATTCTTTTTAATATATGAAATTTTCTCGTTTTTAACTCATATATTGCTTTTGTTTTTTTTAAAGGACTGCTTATAAATACTGTTTTAGAGAGGGGGATTAAAAGTCAGTAAATTTAGTTCTTGGATTTCAAATATAGAACGAGGAAATTCCAACTATTTAGACAACATATTTGCACATAATAACTTAGATATGATTAGAGGATAATGAGTTAGATATTGACAAATAAAATAGGTAATTGTAGGATGGCAAGAGTTCAGACAGTACTGTTAGATATTGACAGTGATAGTGAATAGTGATGACATGGGGCTAAAAGAAAGACATGTTAGCGACATTTTAAACCTATATAAACAAAGGACAGGTTATTAGGCCATCAATAAATCTTCATTTATATTCTTCTTTTGATAATACGGAATATTATATAAATTACCAAAATATGTAGAGTCAATGTGAATGTAATTTCTCATGTCAAAAATGCAAAATTATTTCATCCCAAATATTATTTCTCACTATACTGAATCAAGTAAAATTGTATAGCATACTTTATGTAGTGTTAAAGTTAATAAATTATTTAAAAAACAGTTTGTCTTTATCTGGATTAAATTTCTATGGCNCCGGCCCCAATTAAAAATTATTTGGATGTATGTATATGCGAAATTATATCCCGACTTATGCGGTTATCGCTCGGTCCCACCTATCGCGTAAGTTCGGGGTATTACTACTTCGTAGAAGCTCCTCCTATTTCCTGCCCACTGCGAAGGGACTTAACGAATGCACTGTATATTACGCTATATATTGCTGGTTATATGTTATAAAGCAATACCGTAAAAGTAATTCATTAATTTAAAGTATCTCATATTATGCATCATTTCCTAACTTTAATTATGACCACCCTATATAAACTTCTAAAATGCATATAATCTGCAGACAATTACGAAAAGTGTATGTGAAAATAATGCTTTTCTCTATAGATACGAACTAGTCAAACCTTTACCAAAGGAATTTGGACGTCTAGAAAAAAATGGAACTTGGACCGGAATGATTGGAACTGTAATTAGAAAGGTTATGAAAAATATACTTTGAATTATTTATTTATTTAGAATGTTTTAAATAATTTTTTAAATTCATGATGTAAATAAAAAAAAAAGTGTGAACAAGTTTCTCTTTCTGTTTCTATGCATATTCCTCTGTTAGATTGCGCTGCAATTTGACAAAATTATAGACCAATAGATTTCCGTTGTCTTTCGACTGTCTGTTCGTCTGTCATACCTTAATCTCGAGAACGATGTTAGACAACTGAAGGTCTAAACCAGAGATGAAAGCTTAGGGACAATAAACCTCGATTAACTGTATACAGTCGACCCCCCTATAAGATCATTGATTTTTCCGTTTTATCTGAATTACATGTACGAGTCACTTAGATTTTACAAATACGTGTGCCGGGCTGTGAACGGCTCACATATTTGTAAAATCTAAGTGACTCGTACAACATGGAATTCAGATAAAACGGAAAAATCAATGATCTTATAGGGGGGTCGACTGTACGAACTTCGGGAAATTACGTGATGTCAATTTAAATATTTTCCCCTGAATAGAGTTACATGGATGACCGGCACGTCTCTGTTGTTATCGGGAAAAGTATGATATACAGGGAAAAGACACTATTAATTTGAGGTGAAGAGCATGTATATTAAATTAAGTAAATTAAAAATTGCAACTCGGCGTTGCGACCATGTCACAATAAATAACTCTCGGTCAATTTCAGTATTGTTTATACCTGCTTTGTCTGATTTAATCTTCTCAAGTACTTCGTCTTGAAACATCAGACAATTTCTGAATTACTTTTATCTGTATGTCCATGTTTTCTGCATCGTATTTCCTTGATGGCATCATATGATTTTAATTTTAGAACGTTAATATCTTTACGTGTAGAATTATTCTGTCATTTTTGGAAAATTTGAAACGAATACAGATTCAGCAACCTCAATAGCGGCTTGATAATGACGATTTAGTCATTTCACATAGAAGCTATTCAAGTGAAATATTAGAAATCCTATATTCTGTGTTATATAATCTGATATTTTATTGAAATGATATGTCATCTTTCGACAATTTATGGAAACTTTTATTCATACATTTTTCCAATCGGTTGAACACAAGCAGGGCCATCAAGAGAGCTTTCGCTCTGTTTGCTTGAAAAAATTAAAAACGTATAATATTATTAATAAAAATTATTATAAAGAGTTTTTAGAGGATATTTCAAAAGACAATTTCTATTATTAAAAAATCTCTAGAAAAAATCTCAGTTTTCCCTTTCTTGATGACCCTGAATGAGAGAGTAATTAGGTACAGCCATACCATTCTGAAGAATATTTATGCCTTAGATAAACGATTTACATAGAAGTTTCGTGTCTGACTCTTGACTCATAATTTCAGCTCGACCCCATTGAATAGCAAAACAATGTTACGTAAGATACTATCCACAATATAGAGTACATACCATTTCTGTTATGCATTGGTATCTAATTAACTTTTTTCTATTAAGTATTTTAACTTTAATAATACATTCTAATAAGAGAAAATAATTTGAAATAATACCTTTGTGTTTAGGAAGTCGACATGGCACCAATTCCAATGTTTCTACAACATGACGCATATGGTAAAGTCGAATATACGCATTGCATTGTATATCATCCAATACAATTCATAGTTAGAAAAGGAAGAAAAGAATCAAATTGGAATTCTGTGGTGAAACCTTTTTCTGCAAAGGTAAATTCTGTCTTAAATTCCCTTTTCTTTGCAACAACTGGAAGTCTAATTAATAATATTCTCCAGGTATGGGTAGTTTTAATAGCGACAATGATTATTTTTGGATTTCTTTTGTATCATATCCTGAAATTTGACCATACAATTTGCAAATCTGGAAAACTGCAATCTCGAAAGGAAATTTATTGGTTTCTTTACACATCTTTCACCGCGCAAAGTTGGTATCTAATTCTAGAATCGTTATGAAAATACAAAATTAATTAAATAAGCTGTTTTTTATAGGTTTTAATTTGTGTAAAATTAATGGCATTGCATCTAAGTTGTCAATAGGAATTTGGATACTATTCGTTACGATACTGATGTCTTGTTACAGTGGAACGTTGATATCTTTCCTGACTTCTCCAGTGTACGAATACGTTCCATCCACCTTCAACGAATTAGTGAAAGATATACAAAATGGATATTTCGATTGCGGATCCGCAGTTGGTGGAGAAGCGTATTTTTTGGTAAGCGAAATGAAATTTCAAAAATTACATATTACGACTTATAACGTAGTTTTAATAATGGACATAACTTCATTTATCCAGGGAGAAAAATCAGAAAATACAAAAACAATAGAAAATTATATAAAATCTCGTAATAATTTTTTTTCGGATGAAGTGTTAATCAAAAAAATGAAAAATAGTAAATTTGCATTAATTCGTAGTTATAAATTCTTAAGACGAATGGAAAAACAATTTAATTTCGTGGATATTAAATATTCGAAAGATGCTCTCTACACACTTCCAGCTGCTTATGCAATAAGAAAAGGATTCCCTTGGATGAAAGATATCGATAAGATGTAAGAGGAAACATTATTATATGAATTGCATATCTTTAATGTCGTCTATATTTTAATATAATTATTTGCAGAAGTTTTCGATTATTTGAATCGGGCATTGCTAGCAAAGTGAAAGATGTTACTCCAATTTCTGAGCAAATAAGTACCGGTACATCTCGCTTCAATCCATTGTATATGGAAGACATGATTAGCCCCTTTATCATTGTATTGTGTGGATATATTCTGGCTAGTTTCTGTCTAGTTTTGGAAATAATTATTCGACGCTGTCATTATGTAGAGCAGTAACATTTCAATTTTTAAAAAGTGATTATTCTCGAAAAATCATAAGTAATGCTAACATATCTCGTCTTATTTTTAAGTTCACTCAGATCATGTTTTTCAATTGAAAAGTAGGAAAGAAAAAGGAAACACTACGATACGTATTATTTAGTGTTTTCATATTTTCGTTCTTCTCACCCCTCAGAATGGACAGATTTACATAGCGGAATCGATTTTTATTTAGAGACAATTATAGGCAAATTTTGCTTGATGAGGCGGAAAACAGGTTTCATCCATAGTTTTATTAAACTATCCTGCTTTTCTGTACAGCTCAAATACTACATAAAAAAAGTAAAAGTGTTGCAAAAAGTGATATTACTTAACAGATCAAGCAAAAATGATGCTAAATAACTGATGTAAAATATCAATGTAAAGTGACTTGTCGTTATAGCAAACTTGAGGGAAACCCCAAGAATGTTTGATGTAGTAAAAAATGTATATAAATTATGAATTACATACAACTGTACTATACAGCATCCATACTACGTCGTATAAATTATGAAGCAATTTACATAGGAAATATGAAGTCCAAAAACGAAACATACATATTATATATGTTAATATGTAGTTTTCTTTTATCACATTTAATTTAAATAAAGTGCAATAAAACCTGCTGATGTGACCACCCACATAAAATGACCACTTTGACCTGGTCCCTTCAGTGGTCACATTAGCAGGTTTCACTGTACTTTAGTTCTGAAGTCATCAACTTAATTTGGGCTTTTAGTCATATTCTTTCTACGCTTTAGTTTCCTGTATCAAAACCACAATGACATTTCTCACTCACCTCGGTTTTTTCTTATCCTTGTGTTTCAAGTAAAAACAATATTTTTTATGTATTAAACGCTTGAGCCAATAGTAATTTATTTCCAGACTAACTACATCAAAAACAGTCTAAATATTTTCACAATATTAGCTTTTATTCTTCCAATATGCTCGAAAGACATATTGGAAGAATAAAAGCTCTTCAGTTGGATTTACAAGTATAAAAGTTGAAATGAAATAACTTCTCAACAATTGTGTTTTAAACTTTTATATTTGTAACTCCAGCGAAGAGGGTATATGCGTATCGGAGAAACAAATGCTAATACAGTATTGTGAAAAAATATTAAAATAATGCAGTTTGGTTTTTCTTCTGAGATTTTATATTAACTTTAAAGTATAAGTTGGATTTTTCAATTTTCAAATTACCCTCCAGTTGCTGTTACTACAAATAGCCACAGAGGCGGTGCGCGGTTCTTCGCCTAAAATTGCGTTATTTTTAAGCAAATAACTTCGAAAGGACTCAAATTGACGCGGAAATAATTTAATTTTTTGCATTGGTATTTTTAAATCATTTTATAAGTTTTATGATACCATGTTCCATATAATTTTGTATATATTTTTTTAATTTTATGAATATAAAAATGCCAGCGACTGTAATATATATAAATTAAAAAATTTTGTTTATTAAATATACGTTTGCAATATTGTACGCTATCGATTTTGCATTAGGCTCAGTCCAGTTCAAAATTAAAGGCATCCTTAATTTTATTATTTAAACGGATAGTGTAAATATATAAATTATTCCATGTTAAAAAAGTAATGCATGACCTATTTTAACGAAGCACATGTATCACTGTAATAATACATGTGCTTCGTTCTTAACATCATAATTAACAATTTCACACGATAACACAAAGTTAGACACAGTGTAAAGCAAAATAAAGTGGAGTAAAAGTTACAATTAAGAACTGTATTCAGATACAATTGAAACTCTATCGAGAGTACTATGGGGACAAGTAAAACATTGCAGATAGACAGGTTTAAAGATATAGAGGTATGTACACAGTAAAAAGTAACAGGTTAGATTGCATGTGTAGTATTTTATTAATATAATAGCAAGTACAAAGAAAACATTTTTCACTTATCTTAACAGAAACAATTTGTCGATAGTTTCTAATGGCTGACTTTTTTCAACTAATAAGACAAAAGCCAAACTTCTAATCTTAACCCAACAGAGTTCAAACAGATAAAATCACTGAGCATTAATATTTGGTTGTGGTTTTTCACCTCGCCTTCGAGCTGGCAACACGGGGTTTTCCGTGTTTTCTTTACGTTAGTAACACGTATATACGGAGACAGTTTTTTATAGAAAGTCCTTCTTGGAAAAATCTCCTCTAGGCAGATCGCTCACATGTCACGTTGCCAAAAACAGTATTAATTAATGCAAATTAACGCAGCTTTTCTTTGATTGACTATAACTTGTGGCCAATAAAAAAAAACTGCGTTAATTTCAACTATCTACTGTATTACAAGAGATGTTTCTCGACTACAGTTTATAGTATCAATTACTTTACTGAGCTTTGAAATTGAAATTGACACTTAAATCCATAATTTCAGATGTAAAGATTTTAGAAAATTATTTGAGATAAACACAGATAATATATTGAAATTGCAGGATAATAAACAAATTTCGAAGAAAAAAATTATTGAGATAAACATGTTTGAGTCAAACACTTTCAAGTGTATTTCGATATAAAATTTGTAAATGACCAAAAATATAGTATTATTTCGAATAATCGTAAATTGTAAATTTGTATATTTGGGATAGACTGTTAAATTGATTTTATATTTAGTGCAACGAAAGCTTGTGTGATTAAAATGGCCATTGGTAATGGGCCAGTAATTGGCCATATTATTGGCTAGTAATGCGACAGATTAAATTTAATTTTTATATATTAGAAATGCAGAGAATATATTCAATGTGTTATTTTTACTCGATTACCCTTTCTTACTATTCTAATATCAAGGAAAATTTTTTCATAATATAATAACAACCATCATTTAAATATAACATAAACCAGTATTTTAGAGTACAATGAAAAAATGTTTTTTCATAACACGAAGTACTAAATTCCAACTCCAATTACTACAATTTCCAGAGAAAGATAAATGTACAGATTATAAACCTTCATTAATTATTAATTTCGATTTGAATTAACATAATATCCAATTATCAATTCACTAATAAAACAAAGAAGAGATAATGTATAACCGATAACGAGAACAACGAAACTTCCTACAAGTTCTTCTAACTTTAGCGGGCGAACTTCATCCTTACCTTCATGCAGAGGAAGATACTCTTTTTCCCTGATACGTTTAACAATTCCCGCTTCAAATAAACGAGTTATGCTGTAATGAAGAAATGCAATCTGAATATATCTGTTACACAATTGTACAAGAAACATTTTACGTCCTTACATTTTGTTGACAGCACGTTTGTATGGAAAATCTTTTCTAAGCAAATATCCTGTAATGAATATACGAAAATTATCTTCACTTAGTGTCGATCTGCCGTGAAATAATGGCAGAAATTTTGCTCTCAGATAAAACTCTGACGCAATAAAAGCGTAACGTTCATTTTCTATTTTGGTAGCTATAGCTGATGGATCTGATAGTAACATGTCTGGGTTTCTTTCTAAGTAACGTCTTAATATTTCTATATCAGTTGATTTATTTCTCTGAAATAAAATATGAAATTAACTATAATTATTATAACTATACACAACTGTTATATCTATACTACACATCTATAGACATTAATATTAAAAATATAAGAATATAATGCTTTGATTTTTGGTGTTAAATAATGAATTATTAGACAAAAAACAAACTTAATTTTTCACTCTCGACGTAAGTAATAAACAAAAGAAAAGATATTCTTGGAGGTGTAAAACTTTAGTAAAAAATTTTAAAATATAATAAAAATTGAAGTTTCTTAGTTTGACCGACAAAAAACTCGTCATTAAAATTTAATTTTACAAAATAAAACATTTGCAATCGCCGAACGTGAACGAAAACAGATTATTTAAACCTTAAAAGTTATAAATAATAATTAATAGAACGTGAAAAATTAAATCTTTATTTATACTGTATATAACTCTTTTAAAAATAAGAACAATAAATTTCATCGCGACATTTTGAGATTCAAAATTTAATATTGTATTAAACAATATTAAATTTTATATAAAATACGTTGAAAAATACAAAGCATTAAAGACCAATACGAATACATTATTCTTTACTTCTCTGTCATCCTTTTTTAACATCACAGGAACATAATCTACACAGAATAATGTATTCGTAATGGTCGTTAATGCTTTGTATTTTTACAATGTATTTTATATAAATATATTTCGTTCTGTATTTTTTAGAATTTTTATTTAAAATCTAAAATATTAAATTTAAATTCAGGATTTGAAAAACAAAATTTTGAAACAAGTCTGCCCATTTCAACTAAGAGAAAGTAAAATACAAACAAGAGTTTTTACAGTAGATCCCCTATAACGNTTCTAATATCAAGGAAAATTTTTTCATAATATAATAACAACCATCATTTAAATATAACATAAACCAGTATTTTAGAGTACAATGAAAAAATGTTTTTTCATAACACGAAGTACTAAATTCCAACTCCAATTACTACAATTTCCAGAGAAAGATAAATGTACAGATTATAAACCTTCATTAATTATTAATTTCGATTTGAATTAGCATAATATCCAATTATCAATTCACTAATAAAACAAAGAAGAGATAATGTATAACCGATAACGAGAACAACGAAACTTCCTACAAGTTCTTCTAACTTTAGCGGGTGAACTTCATCCTTACCTTCATGCAGAGGAAGATACTCTTTTTCCGTGATACGTTTAACAATTCCCGCTTCAAATAAACGAGTTATGCTGTAATGAAGAAATGCAATCTGAATATATCTGTTACACAATTGTACAAGAAACATTTTACGTCCTTACATTTTGTTGACAGCACGTTTGTATGGAAAATCTTTTCTAAGCAAATATCCTGTAATGAATATACGAAAATTCTCTTCACTTAGTGTCGATCTGCCGTGAAATAATGGTATAACTTTTGCTCTCAGATAAAACTCTGACGCAATAAAAGCGTAACGTTCATTTTCTATTTTGGTAGCTATAGCTGATGGATCTGATAGTAACGTGTCTGGGTTTCTTTCTAAGTAACTTCTTAATATTTCTATATCAGTTGATTTATTTCCCTGAAATAAAATATGAAATTAACTATAATTATTATAACTATACACAACTGTTATATCTATACTACACTTCTATACATTAATATTGAAAATATAAGATCACTAGCAGATCCCACCACGCGTTGTTGTGGCTCAAAATGTATCTATTATAAATTTATAACACTTCCCCGTGGGGGGGGGGAAATTTTTCGAAAAACTTCTTCTTAGTGTACATTCTGTTGACGTACCATATTAAAACGCAAAAAACCGCATTTAAAATAGTATAAATAAAAGCAGAGTTCTTTACGGTAAGCCTTAATCCTAACCATCTCCCTTCAGTGGGGGGAATTTCGACATGTATATTATATAAAAACACGTGCATATTCGAATGCAGCGTTGTGTTAAAATTTCAAAGGAATCGGTAGGAACAAACGAACATTACATTTTTATTTATATAAACAGATAGAAGATGATCTGCTTTAGTTCATTTTCACAGAAAAGCATAATGCCTCACAGAAAAGCAAACTTAGGACGTCGTACTCGTAGCGCCATCTGTTGGACATAAAAGCCTTAACTTAGATTATATATTTTAATTTATATGAATGTTTAACGGAATAATATACAGCCTATGTCCACACTGAGGTTCCAGTCTAAATATTGGTGAAATAATTTTTGAAATCGGATGAGTAGTTTCGGAGATTACCTGCTGCAAGCAAACTCACATACATGCATACATACATAGTTACAAACATTACCTCTTTATAATATTAGCATAGATAATGCTTTGATTTCTCGTGTTATATTATCAATTATTAGACAAAAAAACAAACTTAATTTTTCACTCTCGACGTAAGTAATAAATGAAAGAAAAGATATTCTTGGAGGTGTAAAACTTTAGTAAAAAATTTTAAAATATAATAAAAATTGCAAGTTTCTTAGTTTGACTGACAAAAAATTTGTCATTAAAATTTAATTTTAGAAAATAAAACATTTGCAATCGCCAAACGTGAACGAAAACAGATTATTTAAACCTTAAAAGTTATAAATAATAATTAGTAGAACGCGTAAAAACTGAAAAATTAAATCTTTATTTATACTGTATATAACTCTTTTAAAAATAAGAACAATATTGTTTTAAACATTATTAAATATTATATAAAATACGTTAAAAATTTCAAAGCATTAAAGACCAATACGAATACATTATTCTTTACTACTCTGTCGTCTTTTTTNGTTTTCGCAGAAAAATAAGTTATCAGAAATCGGCCGCGGTTTGGTGTGCTGCACCGCAACAAGCTTGCAACGAAAACAAGCTTGAGCAATGGCGATGTCGAATGGTGCACACTCGGTAAGTAATCCTACAATTTTTTGTTTATAGCATAGTTTATACGGATTATTCCCAAAAAATATACGTATTTTGGAAATGTTGAGTCAGATTAGTCTAGAATCGATTAATTTTATGAAAGAAAACCTTTCAAACAGCCGTAGTCCGTAAACTTCACACGTGTAGGGCTGCGATTGGCTCATGTATTTAAGGATTCATACTACGTGAAATTCGTATAACGAGGAACGTATCTTCGCGTTATAGGGGGGCTACTGTATATTGAAATTATTACAACTTTCAGTAATATTGACAGCAAATAGTCTTAATAAATAAGTAATTATGCTGCATTTTTCATTAAATTGTTTACTTTATATTAGATACTTTTTAAAAAATAATGTCACAAAACTAAATAAATTACATATCAAATTTTTATAATCACATTTTCGGCAGTTTAAAATATTTTGACCAACGTTAAACTAGTATTTTAATTTAAATCATTAATTTTCGAAAATAGATTTGAATATTTGATTTATAAAAATATAAATGTACTCAACTGGTAAATTGAAGGCTGTTCTATATGGAGGTGTCCCACATGAATATTCTCCGTTCTTTACGGCAGTGGCTAATTCATTGATGCTTCTTGGAGCCGGTTGATAAGAAGGTGTTGTCAGAAAGGAAATTAAAGTCCCAGAATAGCCAAATCCCAATACAGAGATTGATAATAGACAAATTCCAATTGATAATCTTGAAGCATAATTTGTTGTGTTGTTTAAATTAGTTCCTGAAAATTGTTTGAAAATGTATTAAAGCAAGAATATGGGTAATCAGAAAAGTATATGTGGTATATTTGCATACAAACCTTTCATGCAGCATGATGCCAGAAGGAACATAAATGTTTGTTGTATTGACCAAAAATTCCTGGATTTCTTTATATTTTGTCCATAGTTTATTATCTGCGGTAAGATGATTCCAAGTAACACCATGGAAATTCCCAGTGCAATCCAAAGCTAATATATTGATAGAAATAAATTTTTATATGTAAAAATAACGAATTTACACTAATGTTATCGTTGAATTATTTAAAAAATACAAGTTATATCAGTTTCGAATATTTACATCAAGTATACGTATTTATAAATAAAAATGTATATAAGAAACGAGCAATTATTTACTGTGACATGGTCACAATTCAGACTTTAATTTTAGTCATGTTTTTAAATTAATTAATTAATTTAATTTAATTTAAAATATATGCTCACTACTTTCAAGTTAGCAGTGTCTTGCCGCTGTACATCATACGTCTCCTGTTAGCAACATTCGTTACATAAATGAAAAATTTAATACAGTATATAACATATCAATCACTCATACTCTAGGTCAGTAGTTCCCAAAGTGGTTCCTACGGACCCCCAGGGGTCTTTGGTATTACTTTGGGGTCTGTGGCAAATTAAAATTAATTTGGGGGTGCGTGGACATCGTCAGGGTGTCCGCGAAAAGTTTAATATAAAGAAAAATAATTGTGACCGATTATCATTATTAGGATAGTTAAAAATAAATAGCAATAAATAAATTGGTTGCCATTTTTACATTCTGCGTAAAATATAAGCATATAGGTACAATACATAAAATACAAAATACAAGTAATAACAAGCATCGCACGGTGAGATTTGTAAAAGATGAGAATATTTTCCAAGAATTGTTATTTGCCAAATGTTTGGAAACTGATACAAAAGATGAAACAATATCTAACGAATTAAAAACATTTTTCAATACAAAAGTTATACCCTTGAGTAATATCCTCTTTGTTACTACTGACGGTGCTACGGCAATGGTAGGACGACACCGAGGCTTTCTGGCATACTTGAAACAAGCTAAACTGAATATATTATCTGTACATTGTGTCATTCACCGACACCATTTAGTCGCCAAAAACCTTAGTGAACGATTGCACGGCTCATTAGATTATGTCATTCGGGCAGTTAATAAAATCAAAAGAATGCCTTAAATGAGAGATTATTTGCTCAACTTTACATAGAAAATGATGATGATTATAATCGTTTACTACTTAACACAGAAGTTTGTTGGTTATCTAAAAATGCATGTTTGAATCGATTTTATGCACTTTTTGATTCAGTGTTGAAATTCCTATACAATGATTTGCGGCTCAATTTAATTTATTCAAAAAATGACAGCATATATGACTGACTTATTTGCCAAATTTAACGAAACCAATTTGAAGTTACAAGGTGATCAATTAAATTTAATCAAAACTAAAAGTATAATATCTGCGTTTGTTGCAAAACTTTTTATATAAACAAAACTTGGGGAGAGGAGAATGCTCTCAGTTTCCAAATCTTTTAAAATTGAAAAAACGAGATGATGATTTGCATGTTTATTGTCAACACATAACGGCTCTTCATTCTGACCTCAGCCAAAGATTTGAAGATATTCTTCACTTGGGCATCCCCAATTGGGTGTTGGATCCTTTTGCAAGTAGACCCACAAACTCAGATGAAGCCATACTAATATAGGAGGAACTTACTGAATTATCCACAAATAAGGAGCTGAAACGAATGTTTGAACAAGGATACCACAAATTCTGGTTAAAAAAACATATCAATTTTATATCCTGCATTATGGGCCGCTGTACAGAAGCTGTTGATTGCTTTCCTGTCTTACTCTTTAGTAGAACGTGGATTTAGTGCAGTTATGAACCTCATCACGAAAATAAGAAATCGACTGCAAATTAGTACTCGTGGAGACTTAAAAATGTTAGTCACAAACATCGAGCCGAACATAAATACAGTAATCTCATATCATCCCACCAGATTCACTCATCTCATTACATTAAATATAACAATGTTTTATTTATATTTTATTTTTGTGATCAATATGATGAATTTCACGCCAAATATTGTATACTAAATGGAGAAGACACTAAGGTCAGCGTTACATGTAATGCCTATCTCAGTGTCTTCTCCATTTAGTAGGCCTATATCTTATTTTGACGTCACCACTCACCATCCAAGACATGAGAATTAAATTTGAAATTTTGCTATAAACCAGTTGCTATAATGCAGTTGTTATTTCACTTGGGGTTCATGGTCAGGTTTATGCGATGAGAAGGGGTCCGTGGGCATAATAAGTTTGAGAACCACTGCTCTAGGCGGATTGATATAGAGAAGAAACTAATGTTGATAATTAAAAAAATGTGTTTCATTAATACTCTAGTATAGTGTTTTTCAATTTGTGGGTCGCGACCCCCAGGAGAGTCGCAAACCTTACACGGGGGGTCGCAGGTAAAAGAAAAAGACAAGTGTTCGTACGATGTTTTGAGAAACTTATCCATTTTATGCTCGTGCGGAGCAAAGCGCAAAGACAATACAATCACGTCTGTACTTGTTGGCGCACTCGGACAACTGACGGAAACAAAAGAAAGCGAGCATACGTTACTGCGCGGGCGGAGCGAGGCGCACTCGCCTCCAGCCCAGCAAATAGCAAATTTTACTATGCAAAGTCGCAAGAGCCCCCTATTTGCAGTGCTCTTGTGACTTCTTTGCCCAGTACAATTGGTTTTTCGATCGATATTTAGGTCTCAACAGAAAGAAAATTAAATACGTAGTTTTTAAAATCACTGACATAGTTTTACTATGGCTTTGGGGGGCGCCAAAATTTTCTAACTTGTAAAGGGTATTTTAAATTTTGTATTGTAAATTTTCTAACTTGTAAACATATTCAAGAAGGTTCTAAAACACTGCTGTAGTACACCCAGCGTAAAAAAAGACGTTTTGAAAAAATGTAAAAATTAGTTATTTAAAGACAGAACATATAATAGCTACGTGATGAAATAAAAGTATACAATTCGTAGGTATTTCTTATAATATTCCATGATGTTGGTGATATTATAATTGAAATGCCACGCAGAAATTGGCAAAATGTCAGTGTTTGCACTGGGATTTCACTGAAACTGGAAGCATAAACATTAATAAAGTTGCGTAATATCACATAAATATTCTTACTTCACGAAATATGACCGTTTGCTTTAGCGATAGTATTTTGTTAAATTCCTTAAAAATTCGTATAATCAAGGATAATCTCGATGACAATTTCTTTTGATTATACTGGAATATGACACTGTGTTTTATGAAATGATACACCTTGATATTTTTGAATATTAAGCTGAATTTTGAAATATATTGTTAGAATATACCTCGAGAGAGAAAGGTCGAGTAATACTTTTCCAGTCAGATTTCATCTTTCTTTCTGCAACCAAAAATTTAATAGGATTCACCAATATAACTGGAGGGTAATCTGACATATAGCTTCTAAGAAATACAGGAAAGCCAGTCATATCAGCGTCCTACACAGAAATATTAAGTATAAATTTATTATTTATCATAAATAAATCTAATCGAATATTTATATTTAGTCTTTATGTTTAAGTAAATAAATAAGCTGAAAACATTTTAAACTTACAAAATTACTAAACGCTTGATTTATTAAAAGAATTTCAGTTACTTAAATTGTGTAATATTTTTAATTGTAAAAAGTTTTTATTAAATTTTTTACGTTAATATTCTTTATTTTAATTGTTAAATGTTTTATTTAAGAATTTTTGTATTGTATTCTTACATCTCACCATTTAAGATTTGTCTACTTGTAATTAAAATTAATTGCTTAAATTTTGAGATAGTGAATTTTCGAGCGCGATTAGTTAATTAAATTAATGGATTAAAAATTAATACGCAGTTAATTACAAAGTGGAAAAATCACTTTCTTTTCCACCACCTGGCCATTCCGTTTACCTCAGATCGGATAGATAAAGACAATCAAATAACCTTACAAATGACAATCTTTAACATTGTTTTGAATAAGTTTCGAGAATAAATCCGAACATATGGTTATTAATGGGGAAAAACGTCAAAATCGGTGAAAGTATGAGGCAACATCAGGGTCACAATCAGGGCTGTGGAGTCGCGTAAAAATCTACTGACTCCAACTCCGACACCGATTCCGACTTTTCCTTACCAATCCGACTCCGACTCCGACTCCGGTTAAAACACCAAAACTCCACGACTCCGACTCCGACTTCACAGTCCTGCCAGGGCTGTGGAGTCGCGTAAAAATCTAGCGACTCCAACTCCGACTCCGACTCTGACTTTTCCTTTCCATCCGACTCCGACTCCGACTCCGACTCCACAGCCCTGGTGACAACACTTTATCGATGACATCAAGATACTTCGAATTTGTTTCTTTATATGGTAAAAAAGTGAGGACACCTGGCAAGAAAGTATCAACAATCCGGCCCAGTCGTCAAAGTCTTACGGCCTGCTTCGGCCATACCAGGGATAGATCGAGAGCACAACAATATGAATCACTTTAGTAAAACCGTCGCCGGATGTCTAATGCAGGGACATAGGGCCAATAGAGATATTTAATTTAGAGAATTGTAAACTCTCTCTCTCTCGGTCGAATTAGATGTAAGTATTTAGTTTATAGCTGTTATATTTTAAGTCTTTAGGAATAGTACCGGAAGAAATAATGCTTATGCCTGTATGTGACCTAGTATATTAGTTTAACGTATTCATTGTGTTTTTTCTTATTAAATTGTTTGTTATTTGTTAACATGTCAACCTGTTATTATCGGAAAAACCGAAAACCCTATCGACGGGCTCATCGCGCCTCCTCACTCGACAGTCGGAAAACCCTCCTATTTTATTCTAAAGCTTTTGGTCATTGTGTCTTTATACATTTCCTTAATTATCCTGACTAGCTTCTCTGAAACTCCTTCTTTCTTAGACCGGGCACTCTATCACATGCTTTCTCTAGATCTACAAAGGCTAATTATACTTTCTTATTTCCTTCTAGTTATTTCTACTTAAATTTTCTTGTTATAGTGCATCAATTGTTGTTCTGCCTTTTACAAAACCAAACTGTTGTTCATCAGTTCTATCATCTTTCTTAATCTATCTTCTACAGTCATTTGAAAAATCTTAAATGAATATTCTAAGAGTTGTATTTCTCTGTAGTTATCACATATTAATGGGTCTTCTTTCTGTTTAAAGATATTGGCACAATATCACTTCTTTTCCACTCGTTTGGAATTTTTTCTTTTCTCCATGATCTTTTCATTATGTCAAATATTTACTTTTTCCATCCGGACCTATTGCTTTAACCATCTTTATCACAACTTCTGAGGGTCGTCCAGTCTTTTCACTTTTCATAGTCCTAATCGCATTTTCTATTTCATTTCTAGTTAAATCCTATATTTGCTTTAGGTTTTTATCTGTGTCTTTCAATGTTCCTCACTCTCTTTTCTCATTTAGGAGTTTATTGAAATACTTTTCCCCTTTTCTTATTATCTAATCTACTTGTGTCAACAAGATTCTTTCATCATTCGTCAGTGCATTCATATCCAGAATATATCTCATTGCTTTTTTTCCATTCCTTCCTATTCTGTAGATAGATTTTGTTTCTCCTTCAATTTCCAGTATCTGGTACTGATTCTCTCATTTACTGTTTTGTCTATCTTATTGCTCTTTTAATTATCTTTTTGTACTCCTTATACAGTATCTATATTTATCAGCTTGACCTCTTCTTTTTTCAAAAATTTGAAAGTTTCTTTCTTCTGCTGTACTGAATGCTCTACCTCCACTAAAGACATTCTACAACTAAGTCTCTCTCCACTACTTTCTTCCTTTCATTGTTTTGCCAGATATCTCCTCTAGTTTCTCTCATGATATTTGCCAACTTAACCCTCTCTTCACTAATCTCACTGTCCTCCTGTCTCCGCATTACCTCCATCTTCCTCTTTGATATCTGCTAGAATTTGTCAATATTTTACGCTCCTAGTTTCTAGGTCTTGAGTCTTGGCTGATATTGTATATTCTTTTTTATTATATTTCTCTTTTTATGTAATGTCAATAACAACAAATCTGTGTTGTTTAACTACACCCTCTTCTGCATACAGCTTATATTCTTTGACTTTGCTACTATCCTTATTTGATATTTTGAGAAATAATCTAGCTGACTAGACCTTTTCCACTCGTATATGTCATCACATGTTCTCTCTTGGTAAACCATATGTTCACAGTTTTAAGTTATGTGCCCGTCATACTTTTATTACCCTCACTTTTTCCTCATTTCTCTCTCCATATTTCATGCCATCATATATTGTCTCTGCACGTTTTGCTCCTTTTTCTACATGCTTATTTCAATTTCTAACTATAGTATAATGATTTCCTCTATTTCCATTTTCTGTAATATCTCTTCTAAACTCTGCTAAAAATCCTTCTTATCCTATTCCATAAACCTCATCTCGGGACATCACTACACCACATTTATTATTCCTGTTTTTAATAAAGTTCCTATTCCTGTTTTTAATATTCCTACTACTTCAGCTTTACTTGCAACAAAGAACATAATTAATAAGCACTTTATTAATACCGTCAAATTTGGAAAAATTTGTTTGGATCTCACTACTTTTCTATTTGAAGTTTTCTCAAGTTTCGTGTTTTACTTTACTCGTCTCACTTTCAACAACAGAAAAAGTTAGAGTAATTATTTACATTTGCTTTTATCTTCGACTATCAATTTAATCTGATAACAAAAGGACTTTACGACGTTTTAAAAGTGACCAGAATAAGAGCCATCTTCTCTTCTGATGGCTCTTAAAGGTATTGGATGATCAACTTCATATCTATTAATACATGAAATCACTTTTATTCAAATGTGAGAGTCATTTACATTACATTTACTTTTATATTTTATTTCATGTATTTTCTGTTTGTTTTATTAAAAACGATCCCCAATACGATCCTCATTTTGAAAATTGTTAAAGAAGTAGAAAATGTAAAATTTAAAAATGCGTGTCTAAATGCATTGCAGTGATGTATTATATGTATAGGTGACTACACTACACTCTGACGTAACATAATTAATAACAACTGCTTATTTTAATTTATTAAGACTATTCTTAAAAAATATTGTCAATGAAGTGACTAAAGCTAATCATTTTATAATTTCATAAATTTCAATACTTTATCAATAATCACCTTTCATAATTTAATTCTATTTTGAATCTGGAAAAATTGCAATTTAAGGAAAGACATTTGCATTTACATCAAAGCACGCTACAAAACAACTGAAGTTACCTTATTCACAATTTGGCCAATCATTCCAGAATAAGAGCCATCTTCTTCTCTTGTGCCGGCTTTTAAAGGTATTGGATGAACAACTTCATATCTACATGAAATCACTTTTATTCAAATGTGAGAGTCATTTACATTACATTTAACTTTATATTTTATTTCATGTATTTTCTTTTTGTTTTATTAAAAATGTTTAAATGGTTTTTACCTATAGATTTTACCACAAATTGCAAACTTACCTAAATTTTAACTGTTCTTGTAAGATTTTAATGATATCAAAAAACCAAGTGTGAGTTATTTGTTTTTTCGATTCTGTAAATCTCATCGCTTGGGGATGCTGTAATCATTATAGAATTGATTTACAAAGGAAAAAAATAATAAATTGTGTAAAAATGAAAAAATATTTACATCGTGACCAGAAATTTTCCACACGTAGTCTTTATCCATTTTCTTCTATAATGTATAATTCATAAATATATAACGTTTTTAAGTATTATAAACTTACTAGCAGATCATCCCGGCGTTGCTAGAAGAAAAAGTAACGATAGGGAAGATGAAGAGTGTTAGATTATAACCGATTTTATCTGTTTTCACCGGATGCAAGAATTAGGTCCTCCCCTTTTTCGAGAGTAATTAGAAAATTTTTAGATGGGTCTAAAAACATGTTTAATTTCCCACAAAAACGCAAAAACCGCATCTAAAACAGTACACCAGAAGCTGAGTCCTTCAGAGTGATCCTTATCGCTCTCCCCTGTGAGGAAAAATTTCCAAAACTTCCTTCTTAGTGTGTATTTCCATAGCGTACCCAAACTGTGTCCCAAATTTCAGCTTTTAACTATTAATTGTTTGGTCTCAGCGCATTATCGTATTTATTGACAAGACTATGTCTTGTTTATAAAATCGTACTGCCCGATGTTCTTACCAGCATAGAGATATGAAAAAGTACATGTCGAGAGTTGATATTTGGCACAGAGTATTAGGTGCTCAAATCATTTGCTCATAAAAAAATTCAGACTCGTAGGTAGTAAGGGATCGAAAATCGAGTGAAAATAAAATACAAAATGGCGACCCTCTTCTACAAACACGCAAAACAGCCACCTCACCCCACCGAAGTCAGGTAGGGCAGAGTACCACCCACAGTCATTCTAAGAAGTGAACTCTGACCTTAGGACCGAACATGTAGTTCTTCTATGTTAAATAAAATTTGTAATGTAATTTTGTAAATTTGGGTGTGCTTCAAATATAACGTTGAAACAGTTTTATGTCATTACAAGTGGGGTTTTTTAACATTATCTAGTATAGTAAAATCGTAAGACCGATAAAAATTTGACGTTATATTAAGGTTGTCGTTACATTCGATGACATTATAATCGGATTAAACTGTATATTGTTAGTGCAAATTAAAAAAATAATTTCGGACGATACAGTAGCCACGATTATTTTTTTCAAAAGCGGGAACTTTTCGTTACGCATCGACAAAAATTCAAACCGGGCCGACACGCAACGGATAGAAATTTTGAAATTAGATAGGTTAATTTCATCGAAGATGCATCGTGGACGTTCTCGTTGTTGTGGCCGGCGAAGTTCGAACGATCGCGCCCAAAAGCAGAGATATCAAAGAAGATAGGAGAATGAGAACGAGACCTGCCTTGAGCATCAAAGTGATTCTGTCTCCGAGACATAGTCTTGTCCCAAATACGGTTTTGCCGTTTTACTTGTTTTTTCATCAATTCATTTTTATTTGCGAAATTGAATTTCCAAAAATTCCTACTTAGTGTGCATTGTTATCGCGTAACTTAACTATTTGATAAATTTCAGCTTTCAACTTTTAACTGTTTGGGCTCTGCACTTATTATAATCGTTATTATTATTATTAATTTATTCTTTCCCGCTGAACAGAATTTCTAAAAATCACTTCTCAATGTTCATTCTCTTTGCGTACCCTAATTGTGTATTAAATTTCAACTTTTAACTTCTAATTGTTTGGGCTTTGCACGCACACTAAGAAGGGATTTTTCGAAATTTTCCCCGCGGGGGGAGAGAGAGAAAATCAAGGCTTAACCTGAAGAATGGCTTATACTGTACTATTTTAGATGCGATTTTTTGTTTTCAACTACATTTAGTCTTCATTAAGTACTTAGGTGTATTAAATTGATAACATCTCAGACATTGTTATAAATATTTTTATATATTTCGATTTTTTAACCAAATGTTCGAACCGCTTTATATTGGAATTTGTTATTTCATATTAGTTCGATTATAGAACGATTGTAAACGTTTCAGAAAATTGATCAAATTGAAAACAGCTCGTTTGATTCTCTGCAATTCTCATCATTCTCAGCGGTAGGTGTTATATAACAATTATTATGGTTGTTGAAATACTGAATACAAATGGGGTTTGCTTGCAAAATCCGCGCGGGCGAAGTCGCGGGTAATGACTAGTTTTATAAAAAGTTTGAACATTTTTGGATACCGCGTATTAGAATATAAATAAATATAGAAATATATTTGTACTGTGTTTGAAATATTCAGCGTGATTCAAAAGTCACAGAAATTTTTAAAAAATTAATAATTCCCAAACTATTTACAGTAAGATGATGCGGTTTACACAGAAATGCTTAGAAACAAGCGGAATTTTTTTAGGTGTAATAAAAATTTTAGTACCAAAATAGTTACATTTCTTGCCATAGATGGCGCTGTAGCATTTGTAAATTTGTTAAAATAAGAATAAAAAAATAAAAATGTTCTTAGTGTAAGTTCTAGTCACAACTACACAAATTATGTAATGTTATTAGGCGCCATCTACGGCAAAAAATGTAACTATTTTGGTACTAAAATTTTTATTACACCTGAAAAAATTCCGCTTCTTTCTAAGCATTTCTGTAAAAACAGCATCATCTTACTGTAAATAGTTTGTGAATTATTAATTTTTTAAAATTTCTGTGACTTTTGAATCGCTGTATATTTCAAATATAAATATATTTCTATATTTATTTATTTTATAATACGCGGTATTTGAAAATGTACAAACTTATTATAAAATTTTATTTAACAGATGAAGCTTATAGATATTATAACTCTAACAAGGATTTTCTAGAATAATAATATTCTATTCAATTTTATAATATAATCCAGATGGGTTAATAATAATAATAGTAATAATAATAAGCGCAAAGCCCAAACGGTTAGGAGTTGAAAATTGAAATTTAATGCGCAATTAGGGCACGCAATGAAAATGCACACTAAAAAGGAAAGTTTAGAAATTTCTCCCTGCGATAGAAGTTCCATCCCGCTAAGGAGAATAAGCTGATAATGATAAGAACGAAAATAATTAGCACAGAGCCCAAATGGTTAGGAGTCAAAAGCTAAAATTTAATACACAGTTACAGTATGCCTACGAGAATGCACATTAGAAAGGTGTTTGGAAATTTCACTTCGCAAGGAAGGATGAGTTGATAATAATAATAACGTTAATAATAAACGGAAACGGTTAATAATTGAAAAGTGAAACTTTATACAAAGTTAGGGTACGGCTATGCAGACGCGAATTTAGAGCGAGCGAGAGGTTACGAGCGATTAATTTTCGCAAAAAAAAAAAAAAACATGCACAAACGAGAAGCGAGAAATAACGCTGGCGAGAGCGAATTTCTGGTTCTCGCACATATCTGACAGGTTTTGATATTTATTCGGTCTCGCCTCTTTTCGCCACATATTCTCGCTCGCTCGGAAAATTCGCTCGCTCGCATTTGTATATTCTAACCTTTAGGATATGCCATGCGAATGCACACTAAGAAGGAACTTTTGGAAAAATTTTTATTTGCAGAGGCGAGGAAGAGGGTTAATGATCACGCCAAAAACCGCTGTATTTACTGTACTATTTTAGACGCGGTTTTTTAAGTTTTTGCAGGGAATCGAAATATTCATAGACTCATCTAAAAATTCTCTAATTAGCCTTGGAATAGGAGAACCTAATTCTTGCATTTAATAAAAGCGGGTAAGATCGTTTGTAATCTAATAATCTTAATCTTCGTTATCACATGTGCTCCGCGTTGATGGGCGAGCACATCTGATAATATTTAATAAATTAGATATAATAATATAATTTTCATTCACATAACATTTTCTATTACTTTCCCGGCTTTCTTACATATAACAGAGGGAAAGTATGGCGATCAAAAACTGTCTTCCCCGAAAATTTTTTCACTTTTGACGTAGAAGACTTTGAAACATAGAGAAATACAGAGAATTCGCTTTTTTATTGTACGTATACATATTTGTATGTAGTTGTGTGTGTGAGTGTGTGAGGGAGAATTTGGTTTACCCTATTTAGCCTAAGAACTCTTGTATTTTTTTTCAAAAATTTCTGAATTCTTTGAGGAAAGTTTATGTACTAGGGGATTGTTGTTATTAAATTTTGATGGTCAAAGGTTATTAAGGAAGAGGGGTGATAAAAGAGTTGTGTGTTATATTTCGAGTAGGGTCTACCTTTATATAATTTTAACGACGATTTTTTTCGTTAGGAGCATTTACAATTTTTTTTTTTTCAAAATACATCCTATCCTGAAAAGGATAGAGATGTGTTTTGTAAATAAATTTTAAATGCTCATAACGTGGAAAATCGTCAAGTAAGCTTTTCGCCATTTTATAATAATTAAAAATAAAAAAAAATTTAATAATAAAATATAATGGATNAAGATGAAGAGTGTTAGATTATAACCGATTTTATCTGTTTTCACCGGATGCAAGAATTAGGTCCTCCCCTTTTTCGAGAGTAATTAGAAAATTTTTAGATGGGTCTAAAAACATGTTTAATTTCCCACAAAAACGCAAAAACCGCATCTAAAACAGTACAGCAGAAGCTGAGTCCTTCAGAGTGACCCTTATCACTCTCCCCTGTGAGGAAAAATTTCCAAAACTTTCTTCTTAGTGTGTATTTTCATGGCGCACCCAAACTCTATCCCAAATTTCAGCTTTTAACTATTAATTGCTTGGTCTCGGCGTATTATCGTGTTTATTGACAAGACTATGTCTTGTTTATAAAATCGTACTTCCCGATGTTCTTACCAGCATAGAGATATGAAGGAGTACAGGTCGAGAGTTGATATTTGGCGCAGAGCATTAGGTGCCTAAACCATTTGCGCATAAAAATGTCCACACTCATAAGTAGTCAAGGAATCGAGAATCGAGTCAAAATAAAATACAAAATGGCGACCCTCTTCTACAAACAGGCAAAACAGCCACCTCACCCCACCGAAGTCATGTAGGGCAGAGCACCACCCATAGTTATTTTAAGAAGTGAATTCTGATATTAGGACCGAACACGTAGTTTCTTCTATGTTAAATAAAATTTGTAATCTAATTTCGTAAATTTGGGAGTGCTTCAAATATGACGTTAAAACGGTTTTATGTCATTACAAGTGGGGTTTTTTAACATTATCTAGTATAGTAAAATCGTAGGACCGATAAAAATTTGACGTTATATTAAGGTTGTCGTTACATTCGATGACATTATAATCGGGTTAAACTGTATATTGTTAGTGCAAATTAA